AAAAGAATCTGGGGCCCCTGGGTGGCTCAGTTGTTAAGCGTCTGCCTTCAGCTCAGGTCATGATCCCAGGGTCCTGGGATCGAGCCCGGCATCGGGCTCCCTGCTCGGCGGGAAGCCTGCTTCTCCCTCTCCCTCTCCCCCTCCCCCTGCTTGTGTTCCCTCTCTCACTGTGTCTCTGTCAAATGAATAAAAAAAAAAAAAAAAAAAAAAAATACTAACTTCCCATTCCCGCCTCTCCCAAGCCCCTGGCAACCCCCATTCCACTTTATGTCTCTGATTTTGAATAGTTTAAGTACCTTATGCAAGTGGAAACTGGCTTGTTTCACTTAGCACAATGTCCTCAAGGTTCATCCGTGTTGTGGCGTATGTCAGAATTCCCTTCCTCTTTAAAGCTGAATAATATTCTGGAATGTGATATGATACCACATTTTGTTTATCCATTCATACATCGATGAACGCTTGGGTTGCTTCTGCAATTTAACTGTTGTGACTAATGCCGTTGTGAACAAACATCTCTTCCGGACGCAACTTTCAGTTTCTGCATGAATTAATCGAGTGCCTGCTGTCTGCCAAGCACTAAGGTGTCAAGCAGTGTTTGTGTCTGAAGATTAAATGTAGCCATATGCGAAGTACAGCTAACTGTGTCTGGGTTGTTAGTAAAAATTTAATAGATGGTTCAGGTTTGATCTCTTTGTTAAAATGTCACTTGGTGGGTGTGTGTTTTATGTGAAATATTTGCATATTCATATTTGAGTTACCTTGTTGCTTCTGTGATATGCATAAAAGGCACAAGGAAGATGAGATACACAAGTATTTCCTGAGTGCACCCAGGCCCGCTCTGATCCTCCGCTGTCCTTTTTCCAGTGTCACTGCAAAGATAAAAGCCATCGAAGCAAAGCTGAAAATGATGGCAGAGAATCCTGACGCAGAATATCCAGCAGCACCTGTTTATTCCTACTTTAAGCCTCCAGATAAGAAAAGGACTACTCCTTATTCTAGAACAGCTTGGAAATCTCGAAGATGATGATTATGAATTATGGTAGCAGCAAAAGCAAATTGGTCTCCGCACCTGAAATCCTCTGCCTTTGTACTTTGTCGATGTGAATGGTACTACCCAACAGAGCACAATCACATGTTAACGTTTGGTAACTTGACATGTCTGGATGTTCTCCTGGATGAGTTTCTTCCCTGAAGTATGTGTGGAATTGAGCATCGTCCAGAATAAATAGGATTGTATCCAAAATTGTGATTTGAACACTGGGATGCTCTAGTTGGCTGGTTTGTTTGGATTTGTAACTTCAGAAACATTATATAGTACGCCAGAGAGAAAGGCAAACATAAAAAAATGTTATTATTTAAGTCAGGAAACTAAATGTATTAACGTCCGTCTTAAAAAAAAAAAAAAAACAGAGCATTTTTCTGTGCTCAAATGTCTTTACAACATAAAGAAAAAGTAAGAGGGAGGGAAGTGAGCAGTTTTGAATCATGTTGAGAACTATTGTTCCAGAATTTATTATGGAAATCCCTCCAACTGGACTAAAAACGTCCTTGGCAAAAGGGAGCTGATTCTTTGAGCAAATGTTGTGGTAATCTGTTTAAGAATTATGGTTACTGTTTCAGAATCCCAGTTAGGAAAGCGTGGTGTATATCCTAAAATTGTTTGCATCAACACAACTGTAGATTCAAATTTAGCATTTTATACCACAATGGAAGTTCTATCTGGAAATCCAGCTTTTATTCTATAGTGATCATTTTTTAAAAATCTAAATAATCCTGCCTTCTATAATGCCAAATGTTGTTATTAATGTGGGACTTTTAAAATTGCACTTATTGCATGAGATTGTTTTTTATAGCATGAGAATGTTCTATTTGGAATTGTATCATGGTCAATCTAAATAGAAAAGCAAAATTTCTTTGAAAACCTGATCGTTGCTATATTGATCTCTGTCAAGCATACTATTTATGAATAATTATGTAGGGGTCTGTGTTGAAGAAATTGAACTGTCTTGTGCAGCATGAAGAGGGGACATGCAGAGGACACAGAAAGTCAACGGAGCAGGCCCGACTCTGGCACCAAGATTGTAAAATGACCTGGTTTATGTAGTTCTTAAAGGCTTGAAAGACTGCGTGACTTTAGAATGATTCTTCCTTCGTAGAACATTCTTCTGCCTAGATGTGTTTTGCCACTTGGAATTTCTTAAACGTAAGAACAGAGAGAGAAAAATAAATCCGCAGATGTGGGAGTGTGTTTCTGTCAGCAGTTTTGGTCACTTCGGTGCCAGGTTGACAGGCTGTTTTCACTGGGCAGCACCTTTGCTTCTTTATCAGGTAAACCATTTTGCGACCTAGGCGCCATTCTTAGTGATTACGGACACCTTACCATGATCGTTCCTGGCAAGAGGAAGCTTTCATTTTTAGGAATTCAAGTCTTCCTGTGAGCGTAAGTGAGTTGAAGACACTTGAACCAAATCTTGAGCATAGTGAGGTTTCAGAGTTCACAGAACTGGTTTAGAGAAATTCTCATCCCCTTTCCCAAGGTAAATCTTTTTAGATATCTTTAGATATTAAATACTTTCTGCATCTATTAGCTCGGTCTGTGATGCAAGTAACTCTCCTTCCATTTGAGGGATAGTTCAGGGAGACGGGAGCATTATCTCCCATTTTTCTGGTGACTTCTTAAGAGTACAGAATTCACCATTTTATCCTTACGTCCTCAAAGGGTTGTGGTGGAGTAGGACTTACTTAATGCAAAATAGTCTTCTATTTTTAATAGGAACCTAGAAAATACTTAACTTTGAATTATCTAGCGTTGTTTCCTTTAGAAACCAGAGCTATTTATTTGTATTTAAAGCAATGTTTATTATTTGTACGGATTCCTAATTCCTCTGTGTGAATAAATGCAAGATAGTGTCTGTGTGGTTATGTCTTCTCTCGTTTATTTTCTGGAATAAAGACTACAGTCCTCTGGTAGGCTCGTTTCCCCTGGGGACTTGGGCTGGGGTGTCTAGGCAGGGTGCTTCTCTAAGTGCCTTCTCTGCAGAAGGCTCTGGCTAGAGGCGGACCTCAGAGACCGTTCTTTCTACCCGCTGTGCCTGCCTACTTCTGTTATTAGAGATGAGAAAGAGACTAGTCGTTCCCACAGCAAACCTGACCATTTGAAAAGAAGCCATAAGTGGGAGTCCGTGAAAGTATCACACTGGGTTTGGTCCTTCTTTCAGAGTCGAGGTTTCGAAGAATAAATGTATGTGTCGTAAATATGCTGAAAGCAGTCTGGAGAAAGGGTTGTAAAATACCAGGGTTAACTTGGCTGACTCACTGTTTGAAATTACAAGAGTGGGGGCGCCTGGGTGGCTCAGTCGGTTAAGCGTCTGCCTTCGGTTCAGGTCATGATCCCAGGGATCAAGCCCCGCATCGAGCTCTCTGCTCAGCAGGGAGTCTGCTTCTCCCTCTCCCTCTGCACCTCTCCCTGCCTCGTGCTCTCTCTCTCTTTCGCTCTGCACTCTCTCAAATAAATAAAATTTTGAAATTACAAGAGTGAAGAATTGAAGGAAATATTCAGGAAAGAGGTATGAGCTATATTCGTAATCTCGGCTCTGTTCTATCAAATGCAAAACATAACCCGAACCAGTGGACATTCTGTAACTGGCATCTCCGTGTTGCATAAGAGGAAAGGTTTTCCAAAGCATGTAAAAAATCAACAGCAAAAGTTTTTTAAAACCAAATATTCCAGAGCACTGTCTCCTGTTTATTAAGTTACATACAGTTAATTTCTGAATCAGCAAGTAGATCTATGAATTTTTAATACTATCGTATAAAAGGAACAGGATTAATTATTGCCTTATAAATTGAATGTTAAGTATTTCCTATATGTAATCACTATGTTCCTAAAATATGATTTGATCCCGGGGCACCTGGGTGGCTCAGTCAGTTAAGCGTCCAACTCTTGGTTTTGGCTTGGGTCACGATCTCGGGCTTATGAGATCGAGCCCTGCATCAGCCCCTGTGCTCAGCGGGGAATCCGCTTGAGATTCTCTCTCTCCCTCTCCCCTCCCCCTGCTCTCTCTCTCTCTCTCAAATCTTAAAATGTGATTTGATCCCATCGTATTTATCTTTGATGTCTCTCTCTCTTGCTCCTCTCCAGTCCCTCAACAAATCCTGTCAAAATCCATCTTGAATCCAACCACTTCTCACCACCCCCAACACCACCGTTTTTGTTCAAGCTGTTGTCATCTCTCGCCTGGACCCTTGCAGTGCCTTCCTGATGATCTCCCTGCCTCCACCAGTACCTCCTTAGAGTCAGTTTTCCACACAGTCAGCCAAAGCGATCCTTTCTAAAATCTGAGCACGTCATTCCAGTCTCAGTGGCTTTGCATCACACCTCGAATAAAATCCAGAGACCTACAAGGCCCCGAATGGCCTGTCCCTGACTGCCTGTCTGTCCTTAGGGCCTGCTGTTACCGCCTTCGTTCACTGCTCCAGCCACACTGGCCTTGCTGTTTCTTGAATACGAGGGAGCCCCAACCCCAAGGCCTTTACGTCAGCTGTCCCGCAGAGCCCACTCCCTCATTGGTTCATGTCTCTGTTCAAACATCAGTGATCAAAGAGCCCCAATCTCTCTTTCTAAAGTCACAGCCCTGTCACTTCCCAATCTCCCCCCTTCTTCATTTTCTTAATAGCATTTACCACTATCCAATTTTAAATATCAATTTATTATTTTATCTTCTTTTTTTAATTAGAATGTAAGTTCCATGTGAGCAGGAACTTTTATTCACTGCTCTATGTCCAACATTTAAAACAGTGTGTGGGGGGCACCTGGGTGGCTCAGTCGTTAAGCGTCTGCCTTCGGCTCAGGTCATGATCCCAGGGTCCTGGGATCGAGCCCCACATCGGGCTCCCCGCTCCGTGGGAAGCCTGCTTCTCCCTCTCCCACTCCCCCTGCTTGTGTTCCCTCTCTCGCTGTGTCTCTCTCTGTCAAATAAATAAATAAAATTTAAAAAAATAATAATAAATAAATAAATAAAACAGTGTGTGGTATATATAATAGATGCTCAATAAATATTTGTTGGTGAAAAATCAAAAGTGTGGTCCTTGAGAGCTGAAGGGCCTTGAGAGGCTGACCCACATGGCCCCTCATGGCCCACATGGAAAAGAAATAACCCCAGAGAGAAAAGGGGACTTGGCTAGGATCACACAGTTAATGGGAGAGCACCAGATAGAACCCAGGCCAGCAAACACCTCACTTTGGTGTTTGTTACACGGGCAAGGTAGCATGTCCCTTCTTTTTTGTACAGCCCACAAAGCTAAGGATGGCTTGCACACTTTTAAACATTGAGAAAAAAGAAGAATACTATTTTGTGACCCATAAAAAAAAAAACATGAATTTTGAATTTCAGTGTCTGTAAAAATAAATTTTTCTTGGAACATAGCCACGTCCTCTTATGTCTGGCTATTTTCCCACGACAGTGATAGAAGGGGGGGCATTGAGCATCGTCAGATCCTCGTCACATCTTTTGGGATAGAGAACTGGCTGTCCATGCCTAGTACCATCACTGCACTGAAAAAAACTATATGGGTACAGACTAGACACCCTCTTTGTACACGTGGGGAAACTAAGACCCAGAGAGCTTTGGCATCAATTATGCCCTGAGCTAGACTGGTAGCTCCAGCTGGGTGAGCAGGCTAGTCAGGACTCAGTTCAAGCGACAAACACTACTCCAACCCGCCTTATGGTAGAAATTTATTTGGCTCACGTAACCAAAAAGTCCAGGTGTTCAAATGATGCAGTCAGGAATCGATCTTTTGATTGTGTTTTCATCTGGGTTGGTTCATTCTCAGGCAGGCTCTCCCTAGTGGTCTCCGGAGAGAGACTTGAATCCCAGGTATAAAAAACAGATCTGTCAGAATTTATCCCAGGACGTGGGACTGTATCTTCCTTCTGCATTTGGTCTTACTTGGCTAGGATTACGAATCATACAGAATGGCATGTCATTTTTATTATGTCCTGCAACCTTTGTTAGCTAGAAATAGAATTTAAAATGCAGCCTTAAAAAAAAATCAAACAAATTAAGTTTTCCTCTTCTAAAAACAGGTCCCTCCCCATCATGAAGCTTTCTGGTGGGTGATCTCATCAAAAGGAAAGTTATTCATTCTTCAGACATGCGCTGAGCATCTGCCATGTGCCAGGCGTGGGGAGTGTAAGATGTTAAGGCACGGTCCCTACGCACTATCACGTGCCATGATAAAGGCAAGATCTGGGAGCTGGGAGAGGGCAGAAGATGGGCACCTGACCAAGGTGGAGACAGGTGAGGGCATAGACCATTTCCCGGAGAAAGCAACACCTGAGCTGAGTGCTGCAGAACTGTTTAAACACAAGCCAGGCAAAAGGTTTAAGAAAAACGTTGGAGGAAGAGAAACGAAGCCCATGGAAGTGAGAGCTAATCGTAAGAGGAGTTAAGACACTTCTGAACACCGGGGCGCCTGGGTGGCTCAGTCGGTTAAGCGGCTGCCTTCGGCTTAGGTCATGATCCTGGAGTCCTGGGATCAAGCCCCACATCTGGCTCCCTCCTCAGCAGGGAGTCTACTTCTCCCTCTGACCCTACCCCCTCTTGTTCTCTCTCTCTCTCTCTCACTTTCTCTCTCTGAAATAAATGAATAAAATCTTTAAAAAAAAAAAAAAAGACACTTCTGAACACCTACACCCATAGGATAAACCAGGTGTATGAGGCCTTCCACGGTCTGTTCCCAAACACATTCTCTCCCTAACCAGACCCAACTGCTTGAACACCCCAAATGCAATGTCCTTGTTCAAGACGGTCCTTCTACCTGGGAAGTCCCTTTTGCACATCCACACCCCATTTGTCAAACAGACATCTTCCTACCTATCCTCACTGCCCCCGAGGCAGTTAATTGTCTTTCTGCTTCTCAAATGCCTGATTCTGTTTTAGCTTATATCACCATATGTTTTACAGGAATATAAATAATAAAATGTGTCTGTTTTTTTAATAATTTTAAAAATTATTTAAAATTTTTTCTAATTCAAAAATCATTCTCATTGAAAATAAGATTAGCCTCGGGGACAAGTTGCTTTACCCTGAAAACAAAGAGCAAACAAGTCAACTCTCTTCTGTATATGGAGTTAATCCTCGATGCTGTAAAAATCTCAACTCCTGTGGCTTCAGCTGCCATCCCTCCACTGATGTCTCTGAGGCTCCTTTCTGCAGCTCCAGGCTGTCTTCCGAACCAAAGACCTAATATCCAGTTCATTCCTGGGCACCTCCACCTGCATACTCCCCCGGCATGTTGAACCCAAACTGAGTTCCTTATTTCCCCTTGCCCCTCCCCAATCACTCCTGTGTTCCATGCCTTGGGAGACAATGTCATAAGTAAAAAATTAGAAAACTATGAGTTATCTTTGACATTTTCCACTCCCCCATTCCTCACAACCTGTCTCCTAAATAACCAACTTTACGTATTAATTATACGTGATATTATATAGACTGCTATAATACATATAATGTATTATGTATGTGAGTATTATGTATTATATATACTATGGTTCTACATAGCATAGAGCTTCAATGCGTAAATACTATTTAGGAGACTGGGTGTGTTATATATATAGTTATAAATATATATAATATATGACCATAGATAACAAAGTGACATATGACAATTATGTCTTCATCATATTCCTTCTTTCCATCCTTCCTGTCCCTGCAAGTACCTCCTCACCTCTCCCTTAGATTATTGCAATATCTTCAGGACTCAGTGAAGGACTCAACCCCTTCAAATCTATCCTCAAGCCACTGCTTCAGTCATCTTTCCAAATCCCCAATTTGACCATGTCATCTTCATGCTTAAAAGCCTTTGATGGCCCCTCACGGTTTATATGTTAAAGTTGAGGTTCTTTAGCAGGTCGTACA